CTGGGCCAGAAGCTGTTCGCGAGTTCCACACTGATTAGTACGAGATGTGAAAACATCTCCTGCTGCACCTCCGTCGCAGCAGTCCAGCCACCCATCGTTCGCCGAACAGGTGGCTTCCTAAAGAAAAGAATGACGACGATCTACGTGGACAGCCGCAAGAGGGTAGCCGGCTCGGACAGCGACTTCGAGGTAGACCTGGGAGAGTCTCTGCACCTGCAGAGCGATGCCAGGCTGGCCGTCTATAAGATCAGAATCGCCGATAGCTTCCTCTCGACAGACCGGGGCCGCTACTTGTACTGGGTAGACGCCGCGCTCGGCACGCTGAATTGGGCGCTCCTTCCGGAAGGCGCCTACACGGGCTCCCGGCTGGCAGCCTGGATCAGCTCCAACTTCGCTACTGCTACCCATAGCGAGACCACGAACAGCCTCAGCGTAGCCTACGACGGCAACCGCCTCATTCTGAACGATCTGGAGCTGCAGCAGCAGTTCCCAGGCGCTGTGGACTACCCCACCTCGCCGGCCGCATTGCCGACCAAGCCCTTCAGCATCGACCACATGCTTGGCCCCAGCTTCGTCTCTGGCGGGCAGCAGGTCTTTGAGTTCGTCCGCATGATGGCATACAGCGAGGTCTACCTCCGCTGCCCCCAGCTGGCCAACGCCAGCCGCGTGCTGGGCAATCTGGGGGACGACATCCTGTCCAAGATAACGCTGAAGAGCGGCGTGGGCACCATCGTGGAGACCGGCTCCGATGACGGGCTTCATGGCCGTTAGGGGCCCCATCACCCTGAGACCAGCGCTTCCGGCTGACAGACCTGGAAGGCCAAGTCGTTCGACTGCGGGGCTCGTCCTTGTCCTTCGTGCTGTTTTTGGATCACGTCTAATTCCCCGAAGGTCTTTTAAAAAAAATATGTTCTATTAAAAAACCGATGAAGCAAGCGCGGGCGAAGTTGCCGCGCAGTAACCCTTAAAGAGATGAAGACGCTTCGGGCCCACGGCTTCAGCCAGCGCCCGCGCTTCGAGCAGGTGGTGGGCTACCTGGAGCGGAATGAGCCGCCCCTGGACCAGCCGGAGCGCAAGGCCACCACGTTCATCACGAGCCACTTCTACCTGGACGACTTCGTGCAGTCCAGCGAGGACCCCAACCCGCAGCCTCTGCAGCACACTCCCCTGAGGGCGATTCCAGAGGAAGGCTTCCGCACTCCCGCTGAGGCCACGGACGAGGACCCGGCGAGGACGACCTGGCTGGAGACCCAGAGGCCGACGCGCTGACGAACAACGGTCAGGGCCCGCCCTCCATCACGGGCCGTTTGCGCAGCGCGGCCGACGGAGCGCAGGCAGCAGCGGACCTTGTGGGCGCAGGAGCAGCAGGGCTCGCGGCGGTGCAGGCCTTCCGCTCCCAGCTCCCCCAGGACGCTGCTGAGTACGTCCGCCTAAATGTGTTGCCCCGCCCAGGGCCGCAGCCGCAGCCACCACCACAGATCATAGGCCGACCCGACGACGTAGAGCGCCTCCTGGACGAGAGCGCGCGCAGGAGGTGGAGCGTGGCGCAGCACAGGCCATAGAGGAGACGCAGAGGAGGGAGAGGTTGCCGTCGCCGAGGGCGTGGGCGGAGCCTTCGGGTACCTGGGGGGCCTGGCAGAAGGAGCAGGGGAGAGGTTGCTGGAGCGATGGCTGCCACGGCGGGAGTTGGCGCAGCGGCAACGGCTGGCCCGCAGCACGGGCTGGGTGCTGGAGAACACGCTCTTCCGGCCTCAGCAGGGCAGTGAGGACGCGGCCGCGCAGGACGTCCGGTCCGCCAACAACATGAATGACGCCACTCAGCCCCAGCACTTCACGCTGCGCTCCGGCAGCAGCACTTCAGGCAGCCCCGCAAGCAGCCGCGCCTCCTCACAGTCTGGCTTCAGAGTCCAGGTCACACGCCCCGCCCCTTCTCCTGGGGCCTGAACCCAGTGACTCTGCCTCATCCCAGCCGAACTCCCGGGCAAGCTCCCGCAGCTCAGGACGCCAGAGCCGCCTGCCTCCGCCGAGCTATCGAGGCGGCCTAGACTCTCCTTCGCCGTACGAAAATGAGTGTTGCGCTACATGTAAAGAAGCATGGAGGTAGTCACAGCCGGAGCACAGGATGAGTTGTTGCAGAGCCTGGACTACAAGCTGAAAACCAGCAACACCAACTACGTGACCGCACGGCACGACGTGCAGTATTTTCCCAGCTCGCTGAGCTCCTTCTCTCCCGCCACCTCGAGGGTCTGCCGCATTCCTCTGACCAGCGGCACCTCGTTCATCGACCCCGAGTCTATCAAGATCGCCTTCAGAGTCAGAAACACGGACGCCACCAACCCGCTGGCGCCTGCCACTCCGAACCCCGCCTGTTTCATCCAGAGGATCCAGGTCTTCGCCAACGGCCAGCGCTGCGACGACATTAACTACTACGGCCGCACCGTGGCCGTGCATGACCTGCTGAAGGGCCGCGAGTACAACCAGAACAAGGCCGTGGAGGGCTTCGACGAGGTGAACAACTCTCGGACGCCCCGCGCAGTGCACCAGAGCGGCTACGCGGACGTGCTGCTGCGCCCCACCATGGTGGGCATCCTGCGCTGCGGCAAGATGCTGCCGCCGCAGCTGAACCTGGTGATAGAGATCGAGTTTGCGGACGCCACGACTGCGCTGTGGTCTGAGAACGCCGGGGCGCACCCGGCGGGAGCCACGCTGAGCACCGACTTCGAGATCCAGAACGTCCGAGTTCTGGCCTCACAGGTCGTCCTGGACTCTGCGCTGGTAGAGTCCTTCAACCGCGTGCTCCTCTCAGGAAGGTCGCTCGTGTTCAGCTACCCCACGGTGCACACGCAGCAGTCCACGGTGCCTCCGGGCGTGGCGGAGCACAACGTCACCGTGGCGCGCGCCTTCACGAAACTCATGGGAGCGTTCGTGACTTTTTGGGACAACGACGCGGGCTCGAAGATCCACCTGCTGGCCAATCCGGGGCAGGACGTGGCCCATCGGAGCGGCCAGGCAGGAAGACAGTCTCCTGGAGTCGCAGATGCAGCTGGGCAGCCTGCAGTACCCGCACAACCCTATGAAGGGAGCCTCGGAGCACTTCCACTTCCTCTCGGTCCTTGCGGGGACCTACGACGACACGGTGCGCAACATCGACATCGACCGCGCTGGCTACCTGCGCCACAGCTTCATCGCGGGCTTCCCGACAGAGCGAGTGCCCAAGATGCCCCTCAGTGGCGTCAGCACTCGTTCGGGCGACCTGGCTCGGTTCACTTTCAAGGCGCTCGACGGCACGATGACGGATGTGTTCATCCACCTGATAGCCTATCAGCTGGTGACGCTCTCTGGCACAGGAGTCTCCGTGCTTGACTAGTAAGGATCCATAGCTCAATTGGAAGAGGCTCTGCAGCTCTGAAGCTTACAGACCGCAGGCTCGATTCCACCCGGGCGCGGATCATTTTTGCAGGCGAGTGCCCTTGAGAATTCTTTTTTCTTCCTTGAGCCGAGACGGATCATCGCCGAGAGACGGATCTTTCCGCCTCCAGCCCAGTGACCGCCTCTCCTGGGAACGAGAAATCCCCGAGACGGATCTTCCAGCCTCCAGCCCGGTGAGCGCCTCTCCTTAAAAGACTTATATTCCCAGGTCCGAGACGGATCTTCCCGCCTCCAGCCCGGTGAGCGCCTCTCCTGAGACCAACCCGGTGAGCGCCTCTCCTTAAAAGACTTTTATTTCACCTTTAGCTGACCGCACGGTTGAAACACCCACATGTAAAAGGTGACAGCATACACGGATACGCATAAACACCGATAACATCACATCAGAAGCGCTATGCTTTTTCTCACGATGCTATGGGGCTTGCTCCGGAGTCCCGGTGCCTCAGGCACAGGGATAGGCTCAACACAACATTCGTTGAAACGGGTGGGAGTGCAACGGGGTGGGTCTGTTTCAGGCGAATGCACAACGCGCATGGCAAAAGCCCGTACCCACCCACCCACCACTTGAACCAAGAGGGTCACATAACACATGTTAACAACCATGCTAACTTTAGTCAAACTAAAGTTTCAGCTTGGGTTGAAATAAAGTGTTCATCACAACGAGTTGTGAGTGTTCCACTTATTTCACCTTTAGCTGACCGCACGGTTGAAACACCCACATGTAAAAGGTGACAGCATACACGGATACGCATAAACACCGATAACATCACATCAGAAGCGCTATGCTTTTTCTCACGATGCTATGGGGCTTGCTCCGGAGTCCCGGCGCCTCCCCCATTAGAGACGACTCCATCAAGCCAGCATCGCAGCGATTCGATGCCATGGAATCTCCTCTGCTTCAGCATTGAGTTTCCGCACCAAATCAAAGCACAATCTGCTTGGCTGATCAGCAATGTTCGAGCTGGACGGGACCCTGCCAAACCATGCTTTGCATTGGTAATGCATTTCCAGGGTTACAAACTCAGCAATGAACTTGGCTCCAATGGTAGTGGCCCCATTGGCTCTGATGAAGCCAGATCTAGCAGCGTCATTGTCAATGTAGAAAACAACTGACGAGGTACGCATATGTGGACCCCACAGAACCAATGCGATCAGTAAAGGCAAAATTTCAAGCTCATAAATAGGATTCAACGAAGCTTCACAAAGGACCGACATGATGTCCTTCGGCACCAAGCTGCCAAAGAAATTCACGCATGAGCCCGCAGGCGAAAACAGAACTCCACCAATGGATCCAATTTTTTCAGCAGGGCCTTCACAAGCGCCATCTGTGTAAATAATCCAAGTCTCCATCGACGAGGGTTGCAACAGGAGGGGAGAGGCTTCACGAACACGGTCCCTCAGGAAGCGCAGCGCAGTGACCTCATGCGGCTGTAACTTGTTTCCATGCGTGGACCTCAACGCGAGCTCACCCAGCGTTTGGATTGCTTGATTGGCAATCCTGCCGAACGCAAATGTCTCAAACCAATGCAAGCGACCGCGGAGCGATTCAGCAAGCTTTGAGCTCACACTGCCTTTGTCGAGGATATCATCCGTCAAGACAAGCTCAATCTCACTCCTCCTCTCGGCAGTATGTCCAATAGACGCCCTGCCTTCAGAGGCCTCCGACAGGTCGAAACAAACTCCCAGTGCTTTGAACTCTTGCGAGTATTTCAAGGCCTTGTCCCCAGACTGCGCGAAGTCAAGGCCCAGCAAATTGAAAAGCCCGGTAATGGCCCCTTCTGCATTGCTCGCTGTGTTCTCAGCTGAGAAATTGGTGTAATCGTCAAAGTATGCAGTCCATGCCAGGCGCAAACCTACCAATCCGATGTACCAAACTGCGAGGCTGAGTCTCAAGAACCCACCAACAGATCCAGAAGCACCAAAAGGTAAAGAGTTAACACCCAACAACCGCACAGTGTTGGCATCAGTGTCTTTTACCGCAAGCCTCAGTAAATCTCGATCAAACGAAGACACACCAAACTGTTTGTAAGCTGCAGTGAGGTCATACGTGCGCCCGACCAGCTTCACATGTCTGTTCTGCACTGTTCTGCCCAGCATCCAAACCACGTGCGCGGCAATCTCATCCAACGTGTGAATCTTGTGTTTCTCAACCGACCCCAACGACTGGTTCAGCCCACCAACAGTGCAGTCATCTATGACTCTAGTCTTGTTCTTCTGCGGCAACCCAAACCTCTTGGCCAGAACATACGATCCGGACAAAGCATCACCATCAATCCAAACATAGCCCAGCTTTATTTCTGCTTTTGTCTGTTCCCAGGCCTTGACAGCGTCCTCATCATCGACAGGGACACTCCTCTCAAGTTGCTTCATGATGCTCCTGTTCAAACCAGTAGCAAGCTTCTTCAGCGCGCCAACATCATACTGAGGCCGCTTGACAACCTTAGGGAAAACTCCCGACTCTCTCATCCACCCCGTAAGCGGAAAACCTGCTGCGATGTCTTCTGCCAAATGAGCGTCAGGGTACTTCAGGTCCGCTAGCATTTCACCCAGTAATTTGATCCTTTTCTTCTTCAAGAGCTCCGCCATATGAGGTGGCAACCTCTGCTTGAATGACTTCTCATCCGCACTCAACTCCTTGGCGCGCTGCGTCCATTTCCATTGAATTCTCGTCCTGGCCAAATCTAACGGGCTTCCCAGAATGTTCTCGTCCAGTACCTGCCGCACCACTTCAGGCAAGTGCAACGCGAACGTCCTAGAGTGCCCCTTGCGCCTCGCTTCCTCCACAAAATCGGTCTCGTGATGGCCGACTTGCTGCCCTCACGGGCTTGGCCACGCTGGACGGCCTCACTGCGAGGGCAACGTGGGCTGCGACCAGCACGACGTGAACTGCACGGACGTGTTCACGACGGCGTGGACGCCTCGGGGCGGGCACACTGGACCTGTACAGCATGCAGATGCGTCGGCGGGCCGGCTGACGTAGACGGGGCAGGCAGCTTCCTGGCGCCTCCAAGGCCAGGACCCTCGACTAGCCTCCTTTGAAAAAACTGGTTTTTTGAGGCACTCAACAGGCCTCCTCGTTTCCGGGGAAGCTTGAAGCAAGCCCCTTTTGGCGCAAAAATTTTTTGATCACACTCAAGTTGGAATTGCCTGATCCTGATCGAGCGAAAAAACTGGGAGAAAAAAAGGTTTCGAGGCATTGCGCAGGCTGGGGAATTCCCGGAGCCTGCTCAGCTTCTTTTTTTGGGTTAGGGGTGCTCGGGAAACCAACGGGTTGGGCGAACCTTCAAACCGTGCAAAACCGTGCAAAAAAGCTGTAGTCCAGGGTGTATATTCATATGCGGCCTGGACTAATAGCTTTTTGTAGCGCAAACCAAGGGCTCACGAGGTAAACCGACCTGGCATCGTCAACCATTGTAGCTCGAACTTCGGCCACCGAGTTACTGAGCTTCCAGTCGTCTCCTTTACAGCCGTCCCGACTCTGACCCTATTGCTTCAAGTGACGGCTGCAAATGCGGAAACCCTTCGGAAAAACTGCTTCCAACTGCTGCTGCAGGTTGCGCTCGTCACTGAAAGCCACGAATTGCACATATTTCCCAAATTCTGAAACGAGCGGCTTGTATTTCTTGCCCGGGGCCAAACAAAGCCAGCAAGAATTTGTTGGTGGACGCACCTGCCACTGCAATCTGTTTTGGCAGGTCTTCCACAACTTCGGCGCCCAGATTCAGCAAGCGCTGCTTGACTGCTCTGCCTGCAATTCTCTGGCATAATAACCCGGGTATGCAGCTTCTTCCGCAGTTGGACACACCAGCTGTTTGCCCTGGAGAGTGGGTGCCCACGGCTCATGGTAATGGCCCCCATTACACTTGATGGCCAAGGCACTGAACCAATCGTGTGTGCACCACCACTGTGTGCTTTTCTTTCGCAAACCTCCATGGCAGCAATTGTCAAAAACGCACGGGAAACCACCAATTCTGCCTTGCATGTCTTGTATACATGGCATTAGCCAAAAAATGGATTTCTCTGGATTCTCCACCGAGGTCACAACATTGTGCTCATGGGCCCACAGAACACAGCCGCGGAATTGGCGTAAACTTGGTTGGCAGTTTCTGTGCGCAGTTTGTCCAAATGCGACAGCCCTGGCAACCCTTCAGGGTCTTGTGTGCTCCGCAAAGGCTTGGCGACTTGCACACCCTGTTTTGTCATATTGGGGAGCCGGCATACACTTCCACAAACAAAAGTTCTGAAAGAGGTCTGCCGTGAAACTTCGTAGCGCATGCTGCTGAGGTTGAAACTCGTCGTTGCCTCTTGGAGGCATTCTCTTGCAACTCCGCCGCATAGCTGCACTGCGACCCCTGTCGCCTTGAGCGAGGCCGGTGACTGTGCAGCTCGTTGTGACTTTTTGTCAGTTGGTACAGCCCTGCATGACACCAGGCTGTGATTTGTTCGATGACATCGAATGCATTTGTGCACGCCTTTCTTGCACCTGCCGTTCGACACATTTCCGGACAGCCGCCCTTCATGTTGAACTTCCAGCAAATGGCGACCCCGTTTTCATCTTGGCCTTAGGACTCGACGAACTGGCACCGGCGGTCCTGCTCACCACGTGGTGTTTTGGGAATGGCATCAGCAACATAATGACCCTTGGGTCCGACCTCAGCTTTTCCATCTCCACAGCCATTGGCGGAGGAGTGGCCGTCAGCACCGTGGTGGCTTTCTGCAGCTCGGCAGATATGAGGGAGAAAAGCTCCCTGTCAGCGGATGTCACCTGCTCCAAGTGCACCTTGACAAAGCCGATAGGAGGTTCCCTCATGAGCGTGGCCAGGAGCTGTTGCGTCCAACGTTGATGAGTGTTCCAAGCAATGAGCCCCGACTGGTCAAAAGCAATGCCTCTCCGCTGCATGGCAAATTGCCACTGCAGCTCTGTCGAGACGTCTGCTTTGGTGTCCTGCTCTGAGGAAGTCAATCGCAAAGAGTTCTGCTCAACCGAAACAATCTGCGGCTTAGCTTTTGTCGACAGCTGCACTTCATGTTCACGTTTGCTGCAACGAGAAGGTGCAATCCACACCACTGCGTTGGTTTCACACATTGTGGCCAGGTCAACCAATGCGAACGAAGGCTGCAAATCTCCAGTGATTGAAATGCCACCAAGTCTGGCTTGCTGCAACTCCAGCCTTGCAATCTTCTCCGCGGTTGGTAGCTTCCAAATGGTCTCACCGCCTGTTTCCTGATTCACTTGGGAACGCAAATGGGCGACAATCATAGTGCATGCTTCAAAATGGACTCTCTTAAGCCTTGCCGACTCACCCATGCTCATCGCCGTGCCCGCATTCAGGCGAGTGGAAAAAGCTCGGAACTCGTCTTCACTGGGTGGACTCTGCGGCGTGCCAATTGCAAAGCCTAAAGCAGAAAAAGTTCTGAGCTCATTGGCATCCAAGATTTGCCAAAGGCCTCCACTGCTGTCCACTCTGTCGCAGTGCGTCTTAAACGCAGCTTCCGAATCTATGAGCGACATGGCAGGCCTAAGAGTTACCCAAGTAAGCTCTATTATGCGTGTTCAGTTTATGACAACTGTGATGCGGGCGCATGTCCTACCCGAAGGTTCCACATGCCCCTGTTGCCCTTGTCTGATGCCCTACACTCGAGCCCAAGGCTCAACGTGTTCCACATCAGCCCTTGCAACTCACAGCCATCAAAACTCAAACCACGCATCCAGAAATGAAAGACAAACTGAAGTGAAAAAGATTGCGCGCTCTGTTTGTGCCACGTACCTCAGAAAGGTCTTGTTGGCGTCGGATGCCCTGCTCAGTCTTGGCTGCTCACTGGCGGCTGTGAAACACTGGTGCGCCAATGCGCTACACTGAAGGCAGCTTACTGTTAAAACATTGCCTACAGCGCGGCGCATCAAACCGTTGCGCTGCGTCCGCAACAGCGTACATGTCTGTTATCTTTCTCCCACACAAGAAAGAGAGACGGTGCCCCTCGAAAGCCAAATGCAGAGTTCTCAATTTTGAGTGCTGCCACATGACCGTTCCCTCCGGAGTCTCATAGTGCAGCTTCGCAGGTCTAGCAAACCACTACATGCTCACCCTCACTCCCAGAATCAGAATCCGTTGAAACATGCTCAACTGGGGCGTCTGCTTCATGTTCCAAATCTGAGTTTTCGACCACTGGTCCACTGCCATCATCAGCCTCAGCAGGGCCTGTCAATTGCACGTCTGTATCGTTCACGACAACTGGACTTGCATCTGGCGCATGCTCGGATTTGTCTTCTGGCGCGACACCCTCAGCGTACAGGATTGTACTTACCACGTCTGATTTCTTCAATGACGGAGATCAAAACAGCAAGCGGTCTTGAAGCACCATCTCTGCTATATGTCAACGCCATCTTCAAACCTTGAGTGTGGTATCCAAGGGCTAGGCGATCGGAGAATGATATTCCCCGCTTGGCCAGGTAGCTCAGGCGAAGTGTACCGAATCTCTGAGTGCGGGTCTTCTCGTTGGATCAGCATCCTGACCCAAGCCCCAGCTTCACTGGTCGACAAAGGTCTCACACTGGCTTTTCCGTCCTTGCTTGGCGCTGGCATCATAGGATACTCATCAAGGTTCTTAATCCCAAGATGCAAACGGACAGAGTTCCATGTTTTGACCCAATTGCCACCGCATACTCCACGCGCAGGTGCAACCAATGGCAGCATGACATGCTTGAGGTGGAGAGATCGACATGTCTTGTGGACTGCACTTGATCCTTCTATGAAGCAAACCTCACCTTGAGAATTGTAGTCCAGATCCAGCTTGCAACAATGCTGCGCGTCTCCCCAACGAGCTCTGGCATACACACAGAAAAGGACCATTCCGCAAAAGGCACGATCCCATGTACTGCCTTCTGAGTCCAGCACCGAATGTATAATCTTGAGGTGCTTCAGCTTCAAAACGGGCGCCTGACGCGCGGTGTATCCAGTTGGCTTGGCTGCCACACCTGCACAGCGCCTGCTCAGGATGCATTCATCTAAGTCTTCAACTCCAAGGATGTGCTTGCAAAAGGCCAAGGCTTCAATGACTGACTGCATTCTGCTGGGGGCCGCACCATTAACACGTTCACGACAGAAGAAATCATAAAGCTGCATCTCCGTACATGGAAACTTCGCATGAACCAAGGACATATAGTTTATCAAGCGACCAAGGCTGTTGCAGCGTTTCAGCAGCGTCATCGGCGACTTGTTATAAAACACGTCCACCAAAATCTGAGCTTGGTCCTTGAAATTATCCTTTGAAGCCAAAACCTGTGTTATACGCACATGGGGATCCCAACTGAGGATCGAAACCCGCCAACGTCGAATAGCAGTTTCCCATTTGGCTTCACGTTCTTCACGCCAGTCCATGATTGTAATGTCTCGCACAATGTCATGAAAATCTTCATGATTCTCAGCACTGCTACGCTTTGGCTGTTTAGGCACAGATGCATCAGGCTCCGGTTCACCAACAACTCGTGGGCGCTTAAGATCACGTTGCAAAACTGATAAGTCAGCACATCCACTGTTGTCAAATAATTGAGACCAAAAACCTGTTTCCCAAAAAAGCGCGGGTCTGTCGCCAGGGATAGCATTCCATGCCCGCTCCAAAGACCTTGTAGGATTGTACTCTGGTAGCACATCGTCAACGGGAAATTGCTCAGCTGTGCCACCATTAACAGAGGAGGGTTCGTACTCCGAATCAGCTTCAGGTCGGTCTTCTGAAACTGCACGCGCAACATCGGCTAAGTGCCCAATAGAAGCATGGTTGTCAGCCTTGCCTGCCGCTGCTGAATCGGTTGCCGACAAATTGCTATCTATAAGGCTCCAGTAGTCCAGAGAAACCTCTGCATCCACATCTCCGAACATACCAAATACCCCCAAGCTCTGTTTCAGGCGAACGCACAACGCGCATGGCAAAAGCCCGTACCCACCCACCCACCACTTGAAGACGAGGCAGTGACAGCACTGCTTCAGCTGCTTTCCGATTTCAAACCGAGATTTTAATCGCTGAAGCGGAAAGTTTCAAACTTGGTTGTTTCTTAAGGCGGGAAAGAACTGTGTCTGGGTTGGGTGGAATCTTCAGGGCCGGAGTCGACTGTCAAGCGTTCTGCCCAACCCCCTTTGGTTATCCTTTTGGGCCCATGACTCAAAGGTCCCTGGGTCGAAACTAGGCTCCGCTTCGATTGACTTTTTCAGTTTCGCAGTCGGGTTTCGGGGTTCTGAGTGAGCGAAGTTGCCATGAGCTGCAGTGCGGCTGAGCACGCGAATCCGTAGCTAATTCGTTTGCGTAGTGATGGCGGCCCCGACTGTGAAGAATGTGGCATGTGAGTCGCGAGCTTCAGAAGTTGGCCTGTCGAGTGACAAGGCGGACACCCGAAAAAGCAGAATGTGTCCCGGGCTGTGCAGGGCTGACTCATGCTCCAACAGAGTCTGGGTGCCCGCCTCGTCAATGGAGATGCTGATCCCGCTTCAGTTGGCTCTGTGTCAGCCTTGCAAAGGCCAAATTTTAGCGGCGCGACCGAGTGGTCGATCAGAAAGCCGGGTTGGGTCCCGACCGCGGCGCAGAGTCAGAGTATTCGCATGAATCACGCAACACGGGGCCTCGGACGCAACCGATAAAGAAAGCAAAGGGGAAGGGAATGGATAAGATCCAGCATGCCGAATCTGCTGGAAATTTAACGCCTCGGACTCGAGCACACATGCTCCAAAAGAGAGCATGTGTGCGCGAAGCCCGGGTGTGGTGCACCGAAGTCGATCCCGGAACACTGACAGACAGCGACTAACTTTGCTTTTGATGCTATGCTTAAAATGACTGGTGTAGAGATTGATTTAATATATGACCAAGAAATGTATGAAATGATAGAAGCAGGACTTAGAGGAGGGATGTGTATGGTTTCTACTAAAAAAGTTGAAGCAAACAATAAATACATGGGTGAAGAATATGAGAAAAATAAAGAAAGTAGTTTTGATGCTAATAATTATTACGGGTTAAGCATGATACAAAAACTGCCATATCAAAATCTAAATGGGATGATACAATAAAAGAAGAAGACATTATTAATTACAAAATAATAATAGTGGAAAAATTCTAGAAGTGGATTTAGAATATCCAAAAGAATTACACGATTTACACAATGACTATCCAATGGCGCGTGAGGTTATGAATGTTAAAGCCAACATGCAACCAGATAAACAAATCGAAATTTCTGAATTTTTAAATCATAAAAAAACCTACGGATGAGAAAACAAATAAATTAGTATTGAATTTAAATGATAAGGAAAATATGTAACCCATATGAGAACCTTACAATTTTATTTGAAGCAAGGGTTAAAACTTGAGAAAATTCATAGAGCAATTAAATTTGAGCAAGAAGAAGTTTTAAAACCGTACATTGAGTTTAACACTGAGAAGAGGAAGAATGCTAGAAATGATTTTGAGAAAGATGTTTATAAATTGATGAACAATGCCATATTTGGAAGAACAATGGAGGATAAGCGAAAACTTTTAGACTTTGAAGTTGTGAGTGATGAAACTAGATATATGAAGTGTGTAAGTAATCCTAACTTCAAACATAGTCATATCATTAATGAAAATTTGGTTGGAGTTGAAAAGCAAAAAACAAAGTTGAAACTAGACAAACCTATATTTATTGGGATGAGTGTTTTAGATTTGAGTAAGCAACACATGTGTAAATTTTATTATGACGTTATGAAACCTAAATATGGAGATAATATTAAAATGGTATATACTGATACTGACAGTTTTGTATTTCATACTAAAACCAATGACATTTATGAAGACCTGAATACAATTAAAAAAGAAATAGATTTTTCAGATCATCCTAAGGAACATAAATGTTATGATGAGAATAGCAAGAAAGTATTAGGTAAATTTATGGATGAGTTAAAAAGTAAAATAATAACAGGGTTTATAGCCCTTCGTCCTAAATGCTATGCTTACTCAGTTTATGGTGATGATAAAAAAATATAAGAAATGTAAGGGCGTAGCAAAAGGCACAGTAAGACGTCAAATGAAATATGAAGAGTTTGAGACGGTTTTAAAAACTAATGAGGTTATACATAAGTCATTTGATAGTATTAGAAGTAAAAACCACAGAATTTTAGTATAACAACTAAAAAATTGCTCTTAGTAGTTATGAAAACAAAAAATATTGGATAGATAGTATAAACTCACTTGCTTATGGCCATTATAAAATAAGTTCTTTGAAAACGACTTAAAGAAATATTGACTTATTATATTAATATAGAAATGAGTGATACAGAAAGTGAATGTGGTGAATATAGTGATATAGAAAGTGTGTGTAGTGAATTTAGTGATACTGTCCATGAAGATATTGGTGTTAAACATATATTGAAACAAAAGTTTATGAATTACAAATGTAAAGACTGTGAGATGCTAAAGTTAACAATTCAGCAGGGTTTTATAGATGGTGTTAGTAATATTATTTGTCAATATATGATATGCAATAATTGCAATAGA